TTGTTTCAATGAGATATATTGTTTGAAGTAAGAGAAGACCATCACTTGCATAATTTCTGGTGATAAAAGCTATTTTTATATTTAACTGTATGCCTCTGTACATAACATAATCATGCGTGTCTTGGTGTTGTTTTCTTCATCTTTCTTGTGTTTGACATGCATTAAGCTTCTTGGACATGTGAATTTATATTTTTTCACCCATTCTTTTTTTTTTGGGAGACAGAGTCTCACTCTGTTGCCTGGGCTAGAGTGCTGTGGTGTCAGCCTAGCTCACAGCAACCTCAAACTCCTGGGCTCAAGCGATCCTTCTGCCTTAGCCTCCCAAATAGCTGGGACTACAGGCATGTGCCACCATGCCCGGCTAGTTTTTTCTGTATATATTTTTAGTTGGTAAATTAATTTCTTCCTATTTTTAGTAGAGACAGGGTCTCGCTCTTGCTCAGGCTGGTTTTGAACTCCTGACCTTGAGCGATCAAGGGCCTCCCAGAGTGCTAGGATTACAGGTGTGAGCCACTGCGCCCGGCCCACCCATTATTTCTTAAAATATTTTTTCTGCCCTTTCCCCCTTCTTCACAGACTCCATTCGTGTATTTTATAAGACACTAAAAATTTTACCACATCTCACTAATGCTCTGTTGATTATTTTTTTACTTCTCTTTGTCGGTTTGTGTTTCATGTTATCTCTACTGCCATGACTTCAAATTGACTAATATTTTTTTCTGCAGTGTCTAATTTGCCATTAATCCCATCCAGTAATTTTTTTAATCTCATAAATTATAGTTTTCATTTTAGCAGTTCTATTTGTCTCATTCGTATATCTTTCCTGTCTCTAACTTTTAAAATATGTAATATAGTTATAATAACTATTTAAATAACTTTCTCTACTAATTCTATGATCTGTGTCATTTCTGGATAGATTTACATAGATTTTTCTCTTTTCTGTGGGTCATATTTTTCTGTTTCTTTGCTTGCCTAGTAATTTTTTTTTTAATTTAATGCCAGACATTGTGATTTTTATCTTGTTGGATGTTGGATATTTTTGTAATCCTATAAATAGTCTTTAGCTTTGTTCTGGAACACAGTTAAATTACTTGGAAACTGTTCGTTTCTTTCAGGTCCTCCTTGTAAGGTTTTTGAGGTAAGTCTGAAACAATGTTCAGTCTAGGACTAAATTTTCCCCATTACTGAGGCAAGCCACTTCTGTGTATTTTTGTCTACTATCCTATGAATCTTGAGGTTTTCTATTCTGGCTAGTGGGAACATGTCCTATTTCTGACCCTGTGTGATTGCCAAGTATTGTTACCTCTAATCCTTTCAGTGGTTCTTTTTCTGGCCTTGGATAATTTCCTTGCATAAATGAGATGATCAGTATTCTGCTGAACTCTTAAGGAGGACCCTCTGCAGGTCTCTGGAGTTGTGTTTGTGTATGTGTATGTGTGTTTGTGTATGTGTGAATCTCCCTCTTCTCTGATACTCTATTCCATGAATTCCAGTCACTTTAGTCTCTTGAACCTTGATCCTTGGATCTCCTTAATTTAGGAAGACTGCTTGGGTTCCCCTACTCTGCCCTGTGGCCTGAAATTGCTCTCAAGGCAGTAAGCTAAGGCAATTGTAGGGTTCACCAAGTTTGTTTCTCATCTCACAGGGATCCCTGTCCTTCATTCCCTGATGCCTAGTGTCTTGAAACCCTTGTTTCCTATTTTGGGTTTTTTTCTGGTTGTTCAAGTGGGAAGGTAAATCTGGTCTATTGTGGCCAAAAGTGGAAGTCTTCCTAAAGGTTTTTATTTCTCATTACTTACAATGACTTGGTGCCAGCACAGGGTATACATTTACTGCATCACTAGGTCAAAATAATTCAAGAGGATTTTGTTTACTATGTGGCACATTGGGTTTTCAATGTAGGGTCCTCTGGACTGTTTCTTGTAATATGAATATTTGTATTAGGATGGCCTAGTCTTTTGTCTCAGTTGTGATTTAGTAATTGGAGTTTCAGTTAACATATTTTTCTCATTAATTTTAGCAAGATGGGATTTTACTTTTCCTATCGTAAGTGAGGAAAGTTGAAAAAAATGGTTTTAAAGTCTGAATTCACAAAAAGAAATATTGTGAGTACCAGGTATAATGAAGACATTTCTTGGTGGAGTTAGGGAGTGTCAAAATAGGGGAGAAAATCCTCCTTTGAAGTCCTATATGGCAAACTCTCATTTTCCATGGACTATATCATGGATCATAAAACTCTACACTAAGAAAAAAATCTTTCCAATCATTTCACCCTATTCCCCTATAAGACCTTTGTCAGGACTTTAATAGCTAGGAAAGATGATTGAAATAACTTCTCCAAGGGAGAAAAGTGGATGAACAGAGAAGTAGTTGAAAGGCTAATAGAGCTTGGTCTATAACATATCTAAGATTTCTTGTAATTCTAAACCCAATTCCAGAATATCAACTCTACACAAAGAGTCTACTATCATTTTCTAAAGTGTTAAGGAACCAAGATAGATCCATTGAAGACTAAATGTTGACCTAGTGTCATTGCCACACTCCACAAAAAGACATGGTAGTCTTGCAGCAAAGGGTTTTTTTTTTTTTTTTTAGTATCTATATCATACATGGCTTATATCTATTATAATTAATGTAATATATTTAGCTAAAATTCTAAGCACTAAGCACCACCACCAATATTCCCTATTTTCCTGGAATGAGCATAATCTTAATACAAAGAAAAGAAAAGAAGAAAAAAACAGAATTGAAAAAAACAAGGTCAGAAAGATGGTTCCTAAGCTGCTTCTGAGAACGTTAAAACAGCAATCACAAAAGTCTGAGCATGGATATATTTTAAATGGCCTACATATGTTTAATTCCCTCAAAATGATGCAGAAAATGAAAAAATGTTGAAAACCTTGGGGATCACAAGTGTGGAAGTACAAAATGAACTGTAAGCTTCACATTTTTCTGTAGACACTTAAGAATCTCCTTTTCATTTCAATATTTCTTTTCTCCTTTTGTTATTGACATACTAATTCAGATTATTGCCAGTGAAATAGAAGGCCCTATAATGAATATTCCTAGACTGAAAAGTCAAGGAGGGGATTGCTTCTAGTTCAGTTCTATGGACCCGAATGTTTAATACTAAGTAAAATCGATGGTCTCCTCCTAAATCTCAGGACTTTATTCTAAATAAGTTCCCCCATTTACATAGCACAGCACTGATGTTGCTGACAAATTCCAATGTAGCATGCAACAGTGGTTACTAATTGCTTTAGCATTTATCATGCACAAGAGACAGGAGGAAAGTTGTCTCATTTTGTACAGCTCAGTTGCATTTCTTATCTCTAAAGTACACTTAAGAAGCAAACTGGGACTTATGGTAGCTGCCTGAAAACCAGCATCCATTAACATGCATATCTTGGAGGGAAAATGAATTGGTTTTTCTAAAACAGAATACAGTTCAACCTCATTCTGTGCATTAATTTTGCATAATTTCCCTTTTGCACATTTTATAAATTAGGGGCTATGATCTGGCTTACCCATACAAATTCTCATGCTCACATTTTCCAGGTTGTACCTTTTGTTAGTTTTGTTTTCAAAACATTTTTAAAAAGCATTTTGGTGCATTTCCAAAATGCTTTTTGTAGTCAATTAACATCAAGCAATATTTTTCTAAGCAATCACTGGAGGTGCTTAATACTGTGTACTTAGGCATCTTTTACCTGACACGTCTTCTGAACAGGTTTTGTGTTTTAAAGAAACAATATCCCTTCACATTCTACTGAAAACATTTGGTTACTATATATAAGACCAGCAGTGGGAAAGCACTCACTAGAGGGAAGGATCTACATTCATGAATGTTCTGCTGATTTGTCAAAGCAGCCAGACTATGCCTACTGTTACAAAAATTCAAGTCCCATTAAGATGTGACCTCCCAAATGGGTATATAAAGATCACATGAACGGAGAAACACAGGTGTGCCTTTTTGTCTTTTAAGGGCTGTTTGGAATTCATAAAGCAAATTTGGGTGATGCCTTGACAAATATATTCCCCCCTGAAGTGAGGATTAAAATTCATGTATATGTGTGTGTGTGTGTTTATATAAAAATATATACAGATTCTAAAATGGTCACCATTGTAGAGAGTTTCTAACGGTTTCTAATGATAAAGGCAGTCTACATCTTCCCATTGTGATGTTATTTTGCACACAACTTCTCAGGTGCATGAAGTAAGGTCAAGTTGTACAATCAACCCAATTGTCTGCATATAGATAGTCCATGAGTTTGTAGATTTTGCACACAATCTGTGACTTGCCTTCCTACCAGATGGCCCATATGATCCCACAGATGCTTACGCCATCATTGATCCTTGGGCAGGAATTTGTCCCAAAGTCTTATTTACTCTTACTGCCCTTCTACAGGTCAAGGGAGACTTGGTAAACAATCAGGGGGGCAATTATTTTCTTAGGGTTCCAATAGACTTTTGTTTTATAAGGCCGACAGTATAATTTGCTAATAAATTCTTGATATTTAATCTATCCATCCTTCTATATTCCATCAAGGCAAAGATGCTGTGTGTTCATGATTGTATTTTCCATGTTATCATATTTACTTTTCTAGTGGTTAAAAAATTTAAAATAATTAAAATGTGTTATTTAAAGGGAAAAAGTGATAAGGGAGGGAGACAGAAGAAAACTGGAAATGATTTCCTCAGTCATCTTTGAGTACTTGTATCAATATAGGATTCACTCCTTATCTTGGTCCACATGAAAACTTAGGTAAGTCATTTCATAAATTGTTCCATACTAGTATCACCTCCACATTTGGAGAATCAAGAGCTGACTTTATTAACTCTATTGAAAAGCCTCATATTTCTAGACAAAGTAACTTTAACCCAACTCCTAAATTACCCTAATTACTTCATTCTGAAAAATGCAGTTAATTCAACTAGAGTAGGAAAATATATTCATAACAGAGACAACAGTATTAAGAAAAAATGAATCTCCACATGAATAACTTACATCAACACATTTATTGCGAGTAGCTCTATGGAAAGCCAAGTCAGATATATATATATATATAAACACTATACAGAGCTGCACGTTTGTCTTCCAAAACTGCAAACAAGACATTGCCAAAGAAAAGAGGGCATAAGGGTATTTACAAAGGAAGACAAAGCCAGGACAACTCAAAGCAGATCTGTGAAGCAGAAATAGCAAACATAATCAGCTGTTGGAACTGTAACATTTTAGCTTTTACTGACCAAGTTACTATGTCTGATACCAAATTAAATGTATAGGTCACAAAAAATCATTCCATCATTTGTTTTTCTTAACAGCAGCATAAACTGATAGCTGGAAAGTCAGTCATATGTTGGTACACATATTCTATAAAGATCCTTCCAGCACAATACTGAATAAATTAATTGCATCTGTAAACTAAGAAGTAGTGTCCAAAAGATTACGTATCTGTTATGCTGTACCTGTGACTATTTGTACCTGTTACTATTTGTAAGTAGTGTGTGTATGAGGTTCCCCATTCATTTATTCAGCAAGTGTTGTATCTGTGCTGTAACCCTCTGTACCCTGTTTGCTGGCAGCCCCTGAACCTAATCTGCAAATAAAGTAATATAGCATTTTCCCCCAAATAATCTTTTCTCCACAATTCTGAACAATTATGATTAAACTTACTTAAAAATAAAATGGTCACAGAAGGCCTGAAAAAAGGCTGCCTAAAGAGCACATTGTTACCAGGATGAACAAAAGCCACACTGTGCTACTTGATTAGGGTGGGAGAGAGAAGAGGAATCTGAAGGAACTGATCAAGTCGATGCCCTAGCAGTGACCAGCAACTGGAGCAGTGACTGGTACTGTAGCTACATCTCCTCAGCATCATCCACAAGGGGGAAACAAAAAGAGACCCCCATCCCTTTGGTTGGTAGGCAAGGAAAAACAATAGAAATCAACTCGGTTCTTAAGGAAAGCTAGTTTAGCCACATGTACTATATGCCTGCTTGAAGATAGAAGTACACGTTCACAGACATCAAAACCGAGTGACAAAAGATGTTAGATAAATATTACACTACTTCAAAGTTGCAGATCAAATGCGAAGCAATTATTTTTAACAGAGTTACACACAACAGGTACATCTACAATCACATGTGCACAGGTACACAAAGGTGTGCATATACACAAACGTGCACACACACACTAGCACTCACACACTTACACAGACACTCAAACACTCACACCCATCTGTGATATGATGAGGTTTGCAGTGATGGCACAAGCCAAGATTTGTGTACCACCACGTAACAAAGCTCTAAGCAAACTTCAGGACCTTTGTACCTATCCTTTGTGGTCACCACCTGCTAATGTCATGTTTTCAAAGGTCCAGGCTCTGAAATCTTAATTCAGTTTCCATCAGAAGCAAGCTAAAATAGGTGGGGGAAGCTTGCTCTGATTTTTTTTTTAATTTAGTACATCTTATGTCGGCTCATTGTCCAGAAGGAAACAAAGCCTTATAAGAGGTTCCTTTTGGCTTAAGTTTTAGTCATAATTAGTATGACCATAATGATTAGTAAATACACACTAATTTTATTGAATATGGGAAAGTGATCTCTTTATAGTAGTTGTGGGCATAGGAGGGAGTGTGTGCCGGGTAGAGGGCAGAAAAAGGAGAAGAATGGGGAGTGAAGGGGGGAGGCCCAGAGAGGTAGAGAGGGGTCTTGTGAGGAGACTTTTAAAGAATCTTGCTTTTCTTAAAGAGGAAAATGTAGATTTCAAAATAAAATAAAAACAATAGGTTTGGAAATGCTCAATCAATTTGCAGGCAGAACATTACAGTGTTGTATATGAACACATAGATAATGTTTCTCAGTTCTGCCCTTAAAATGTTGGAAATGCTTAGTCAAGTCAAGATATCAGTTTAGCTAGCATTTAAAGTGGGCAGAATGTTGCAGCTTTGTTAATGAGCAAAAACTGAGATAATCTGCCCTTTTAGTCTCGCCTTTAAAATATTAGAAATGTCCCGTCAAGATATCAGGTCAATTGACGTTTAATTCGTTGATCAAGAAATGTTCTGTGTATGTAGTAGTCAGAAAAAAAGATTCCAGATCATACCTATCTTCTCATTATTACAACTTTTCCTTTATCCACCCTTCCTTAAAGGTTTTTCAACTTCAAAATTAAATCTAAATATTTTACACATCATTAAAATTGGTATCAGCCACATTTACACATATTGTAAATAACATGTTTTTAAAAGAAGGAAAGGAAAGAGTTATGAAATGCTCACTTCTATAGTATTTGTTCATTTCAAAGAGACAGATCGGGGAGGGAAACCAGAAAACAAAAACAAAGCACAATGTGACTATTCTTAACTCAAAATCATTATAACCATAAGGCAGCAATATGAATGATCTGTGTGAATAGGATCATTCAACTGCCAGAGTCCACTTTCAAGCTTGTAGAAATCTAGGTTGCTTTCTATTCAAAAGCCTCTGAATTTTCTTTCTCTTAGGCAGATCTGGAGTAGACGAAGATGAAATTCCATGAGCATCATTTTTCTTCTAAAATGCGATTTTGTAGTAATGTAATCACTCTAGAAAAAAAGATGATAAAGCAAAAGTTACTTTCAGAATTACTGTGAAGAGCTTTCACCTCCACTGCATTCCAAAATGAAACGAAATAAAACAAAACCTAAGTAGGAGTTTTTGAGAGACATATTGAGGAGACCGCCTTGGCACCGCTGTGGCTAATCAACTCTGCTGGCTGCCTGTGAGGAATACCAACACAAGCCGGGCAAAGACACAAGAGCAGCTACTCCTTTTGCCCCCAGGATGCCACTCCGACGTTTCTGGACAGCAGCTTTGCACACATGTACACTGTTCTACTTTCTTCTAGCGGAGCCTGCAAGCGAACCAGACATTGGGCAAACAAACAAATGTTTTTTTTTTTTCCTTTTTCTAAATACTTGATTATACCTTTACCAGGCTACATAGCGCAAGTCAAAGGATTTAAGCATGGCCTTGGTGATAGTCTCCAGACTCAATCACTGAATTTCTTCTAATAGAACAATGTCAAACCTGCAAAGGAGATTTGGTTGAAATCTCCAACTGTCTACTACAAAGAGGTTCCAGTATTACTCCTTTGGCTTCTTGCTTATCGAGAGGGCATACAATGGAGAGTGTGGAAGGGGGAAGATCAGGTACATAGGAGAAGGCGCTGGACTAGAAATCAGATAGGGATGGTGAGCAAATTGGTAACAGGATGCCAGTGTTACTATAAGATTGGGGGCACATCAAAATACTGAGTATTTTATTTTATTTGAGACAACCTACAAGAATCCATGAAAAGCATCCTCCAGAGTAGGCTTCAAGTACAAGATCTTGTATTAAGCTAGAAATATACATTTTAACTATTCGTTTGTTCATCAGAGGTTTTAAAAATGTTACAGACTTGTGGTTGGATGAAGCATGGAAGGTCTCCATTCCTCCTTGCATCTACTTGTGGCTATTAGTTAGGATTCATTGCATAGGGCTATTTCTCCACATTAAAATGCTTTAAAAAATAAATACCCTAAGATTAGTAAAAGATATTAAAATTTAAAATATATTAAATTAAGAAATTTAATTTAATTATTAAAAACATCGACATTTACTTTTATGTCAGCAGTGGGTTTAGGAAATTTTAGATTTCATGTATCTAGTTTACATGGGATAAAATGTATCTGTTAGCTGCAGGTTAACTGTGAGCATACATGTGAACAATTCAGTTATTTGCTGCAAAATTAAGCTAGACCAGTATCACAGAACGTTGTCAGATACCAGCTACATGTTTTAATAGAAAATTAAAGTTAGAAAGGTATTAACTAAATTTAATGTACTATTTTGTTTCAATACAACCATATCCTTATATGACCATAAATAGCACACTGCATGTGACTTAAACAGGATTTCTTACTATCTTAGGATTTTTCTAAAAACATGCAGATTAAGCTCCATATAACTATCCTATTGACATTATACTAAACCTGAAATTAGGGGAATTTGTGCTATTGTGGTTATTTTTCTTTCCTTTTTTCTTTAAATAACACTCCACTAAAAATTTGATTCATATTTCCATTGCTTTCCTTTAACACGTTCATTAGCATCAAGTGAATAGTTGATAACCTACTAAAACCTGGCAAATAATTGTGTAATTTCAAGTTTATTTTACAAAATATATTTTTCAATTCTTGGTTAAGTATGCTAGTAGAAAGGTATAACACTATCCAAAACAGGATAATCCCAAAATAATTTAACTGGCTTTTGAAAAGCATTATGGGAACTTGAGCCACAGATTTGCCTTTATAATCCTGTTTTACTTAGGCCAATATTAAAATGGGTTTACATTCCCTGAGCACATTCCAAAGAACAGCATAGGGAAGCAACTCAGAAGCTTGCTGGGTGGCAAAAAAAAAAAAAAAAAAAAAAAAAAGCAATTCAGGATTAAAACTTGGGTCATGAACACTCCGCAAAATGAATATTAAAGGACTGACAATAATACCTTAGATTTGTCTCCTGTTCGATTTTATATGATTTCACCACCAGAAAAGAAAATCTCGATGCTTTTAATAATGTGGCCTGTTTTTGATGTATTATTCCCATTTGATACTGATAGGTTATAAATAATTACCTTGTTGTGTATTCTTACTTTCCAATTAATCAAAGATTTTTTAATGACAAGTTAATCTCACCTCTTTTAATGGGTGGTATACTGTTCAAGTAATTTTTCTCTGTAAGAAAGAAAACTTCAATGGACCGTGATAGGTCAAAACATATCCTGATGCCTCCTATTAAAATCTGGCAGGTAATATTTTCTTCTCCAAAACAAATGAAGTAAACTTTTTGTCTTAATTTGTATACTGATATAAACCCGAACATTAATCTTTAATACACTAACAAAGCACACATGACTTCAATATCCCTGGAAATTTGTAGGGTGAGCCAAGATAGCCGTTCCTCCAGGGTATTCCAGAGCTCTTTATATGAATCATAAACATGCCTCTATTAGTTTGAAGTCCAAAACAGAAATGGTTCTCCTGCTCAGAGAAAGGTGAAACTGTAACAATATATCCAGTTATTCCCTCATTCTCTTTTACCCCACAGCTTGTCTTTATCTTTTCAACTCCGATTTTCCTAGAACTCAAAAACGTTTTTCAAGTTCTTTTGATTTCTCACTGCTGTTCATTAGTCAACACGTTATCCCTGCAATCAACTGGTAATCACATAAGCAGGGGCAAACAAGTAAAGCACTGAAAGCAAAGGAAAAAAAGTGAAAGGAAATGAAGAGAAACGGAAGTATACACCCAAAAGATGAATGTATCATAGTGCAATTTTATTATTTAGCTTTGCATTGTCTCTGAAGTATATGTCATTTTTGTTTATTTTTTTTTCAATCAGAATAGATCATCACACCTTTCTGTGCCCTATGAATGTGTAGGAGGATGATTCTCTAGGACTTGACAAAAATTAAGTACTATCCATCAAGGGTAAAAACTAGCAGTAATTGCTGCTAGTCTTTACAGCACTAATCATAACAGACTGTTATCTCCTTGATAGAACAGATGATAAAATGCCCTTGTCACCACGATGGCAACAGTTTTGTGACAGAAGAGTCAAAAGAATCTGTAAGGGAAATGAATGACACTTGTAAAGCTCCATCTCCTCAAAGGTCAGCTCAATTGTTTTACACCTGCCCTTCCCTAGCACACCCTGGACCACTTACACATGTGCATTCCAGTCTTGATTATCCGGATACAAACTATTTGGGGATCAGCTGCAGGATTTTCATCCTAGATCAGCTTCTCAACTACCTCCCAACACACACTTGGGCCACTTCACTCTGCTGCCTAGTTACTGCCGACTTAAAGAATGCAAGTTACTAGAATTCTAATATAGGCAGTCTCCAATTTAAGAAAACAGACATATTCCAAGGTTCACTGTTTAGCTGAAATTCAGAATAAATTATCTCATAAAACAATGTCTTAAATAAATGATGGATAGGTTATAGCTTTGCCTGCACACGCCTATATTTAACCTATGCAGTTCCTGAACTATCAAACTATTTTGACTAAATGACTTTATCATCATTTCTGTGGGAAGACGTATTTGAAGTTTCAATTTGGGACTCCAGGAAAATATTTCTTCTAGCCATGGCAATAGGAATAGTGTCCCTTAAACTCAAGAGGTTGGAATCGTTGGCGGCAGGGTGACAGTGGAAGGGAAACTATGGTAAGAACTGCCGCCAAAATAAGGACTTCTTCTTGCGGGGTGGCACTGAGTGTGAGGACACAGTTGGTATGCCTTTAAGGCTGGAGACAGAACTTATTAAAAAGCAAGAGTTAAAATCACATTTGCTGGTCATACTTTCCAGGGCATCATAGGTGCACATGTGAGCAATTTTTCAAGATGAATTTAGAGATAGAGACTTCATTGATATTCTAAATTTCAAGTGTACAAGTAGAAAATTAGTAATTATAGAGAAGCAAATGATATAAATTGTAAAAAAAAAAACTAGCTAAAGCAACTACAATTTCTGGGGAATTGGATATTCAGTAAATCCAGAAGGTCTGGTTAGCATCAAACATATTGTGGTCAATCCAACCATGAAAATAGCTTTAAACACCGGTCCAGCTGCTTCTGTGCCAACAAGTGAGAGTAGAGCAGGCAGCAGCACAGCCCTGGGTCTGTTGAACAAGGATCCCTACAAGGAAGGCTGTTCCTGCTAAGTGCAAGCGGGCAGGAACTAAGAGCAAGTAACATCTACGGAATGAAGTCCTCTGTAAGCTCTGTGGGATTCCCATTGTGGTCCTCTCCTTTTCAGCCAGAGAGAGAGACAGGAAAGGGCATACTTTTCTGAAATTAAGGGCATAAGTCTGGCAAAGGGCACATGAGGATAAGACTCACCAAATACAACCAATGCAACCCTAACTTATAAGAAAGGGGTAAAGGAAAAACAGCAGTCACTTTCTCTATTTCTCTATTTCACTAAATAAGTATTTAAATACATATTTTCCATTCTAAAAGGAATTAATTTCTTAGCCAGAAGTAGAAAGACACCTTCTAAGAGAATGCAAACCTAAAATAGTGTATATGTCTACACTAAAAAAAAAAAAAAAAAAAAAAAACCTTATAAATTCCTATTTCTCAAGTGTTGAGCCTACCTTTCCAAAAGAAGATGGAAATGTTAAGACCTATAGCTGCATAACCAATAATCAATGCAAAATTGCTAGAAAGTACATTTTAAGTTCCTATGGCAAACACGTCATCTTGGCAATTTTGTCGATAGCTTTAAAATTAGTAATCTAACAGTTGTGGTAAAAATTGAGTGTGCTACAATGTATTCATTTATTATAAAAAGTAGCTTCTAAATTTCCCTTTTCTCACTCAGGACCAAGCAATGTTTTCTAGTAAATGATCGTCACCATAAGAGTTTGGCAGCACCTCTCAGACAAAACATACTGCAGGCTTTAATTAAGCATTTTACAAAAGCCATTTTCCAATACTGCCAATAAAATGTCTGGGCTATTTTTACATAGTCTTAAAGCCTTAAAAAAGGTGCTAAACCAAAATGAATTTAATTTCAAACAAGGATTTTTATGTCTCAAGGAGAGGATTTGATTTTCAAGTCTTCTAAAATCTACTTGCCTGACTGCCAAAAGCAAGTTTACTTTTTAAACAAACGAAGAGCATCTATTTCTACAGTGCTTTTTCTTCCACCTGTCTTATGTTATCCTGTTTTGCCTGCTCTGATGGTTTAGATTAGAATATCAGATTTTTATACAGAAGGAAGAAATTAAATGAAAAGCCTTTTTTCTATAACTGACAAATGTCACTGGATTATTAGGAAAACAAAAGAAATCTAACTTCAGTAATGAAATGTCCACTAATGTAAGTTTACTGGATGTACCCTCAATTCATGTACTTTGCTTTCAATGTTTCTGTGGGATCTAAATAGGTACACATGCTATATGTGTTTGGGATGTAAAGATTAGCTACTTCTCCCCAGATCAAATTTAAAACATTCAATTCCAGCGCAGGTCAAATTCTTTTATTCTAAGAACCATAGCAAACAGTTCAATATAATGAAAATTACCCAAGCCCTGGCAGATGGTCTATAGTTAAAATGCTCTGAATAAATACAACAAAATTTGCTACTATGAAATTGAAGCAAGCTTGTAATTTTTCCCCAATCCTTGCGTATAGAATAATCTTTCATCAATGGGAAAATGACAGACTAAACACCTGATTGCAGGGAAGTGTAGTGTGCTGGGTGCACTGGACTTGAAATTAGATGTGCGATGTAGATTTGCAGCTCAGCCACTTACCTTTTTGACCACGGGAAAATTCTCAACACAGGCTTCATTTTCATTACTTACCCTCCATCAGTAAAATAATGAATGTGAATGAGCTTTGCAAACTATAAGGCAATCTGAAACTGGAAAGCATTTCCTCAATCAACAAGTTGACAATTTAACAACAGTTCCTTTTAAATCGCACAAACTATTCCTCACTTCTCCCTATACTGTTCAGCTGTGTCTACTCCTACACAAATTGTTTTTGGTCACTCTGAGAAGCCTGAGGTTGTTCTCAAAACAGCTCCCTGCCAATGAGTCGGAAGCATTTTGGTTCATGTTTGGTGATTAGGGAGAGGAAAAGGACCTAAGAGATCTTGTTTTGAGTTTTTATGTATGTGTGATATTCTTGTGTGCTTAATTAAAGTCCTGGTCCTTGTTTAAAGCTGATGTTTTGCTAGTGGTTGAAATTTTTACCAGGGAAGCATCACTTTTAGAATGAATGCAAATGAATAATGATTGTCAACAACTTTAGTTAACTTTAATTGAGTGAGGTCCTCTTTAATTGTTATAGGTCAAATACCTCATTACTCCAAACACTGTCCAATTTTGGGAGATTGAATGTTGCCTAAAATAAGTGATTCATCAATTGTGGCTTGGAACTCTCTGCTATGTGGAGCTTTTATTCTAGTAATTTATAATAATAAATTCAATACAATAAAATCTTTAGCACCTATAATTTATAGCAACAGGTTTGGCAGTAGTACACTCAAAAGCATAGGCTTTTTACATGGTGACAATAGTGTCTAAAATTTCAAAAGTTAATTCAGTTTCTTTTGCTTTTTAATACCTAGTGCTACCATAACATTAATAATTTGGCTGACCAATTTTCTCACCCCTCCTAGAGCTGCCCTTTTTATCCTCCTATCTCTTGAATTAAAAAATCAGGAAAATTTTCACATTTTCACCTCAACTCATTTTGACCTATGAATTCCACATCAGGTAAATTAGTAAAAGAAGCAAATAGTCATACATGGGTTAAGATCAGAATAAACTACATAAGAAACAACATTCTCCTCTTAAATGCTAATACCTATAACCTATGTGTTTAAAGTGTGAAGGCTTCATCTTCAATAAATGATTTAAAATTATTTCATTTATAAAAAAGTCATGTCCAGCTTATATTTCTAAGTGTTTTTCTAATTGACTTGAACAAATGCCCTTAAAGTACTTACTTATTATATCAATGTGACTGTAGGTAAATGAGATTACATATTAATTTTGTGTTACATAGAAAAAGCTGTCTCACTGACATATAATCTCGTTTCACTTAAATTATAAACAGATCTCAACTCTGAAAAACCATGTAAAATATTTTAAGTGAAAATAAAGCTATGAAAAGTGGGATTTGAGGACAGAGAATTTTAATTTAGCTTTGTGTATCTAAAAGTAATAATAGCAACAGTAATAACAATGATAAAAGCTATCTAATAATTCATAGATAGCACTTACTATGTGGCAGGCATTGTTCTAGGCACTTTCCATAAATGAAAATTACTTTTTGGGATATATAACTCTTGAAAAAGACTGTGTCTTTGTCCCTCTGTTAAATCATTTTTTGGTTTCAGTGTTAAGATAGGAAGATAAAGAAAGATCAGAAATGGGTGAAAATTATTCAATAGCTTCATAGTAAAAACAAAACAAAAACAATGATGAAAATCATTCAGCCTGATCTCAACACTTCGCAAACAACATTATACCATACAATTTATATTGAAATGCTAACCAAAGTCATTTCCTGCAAAGGGTTATTTCACTACCAATACTATCACCCCTCCCCCATCATTCCTTTCACATATCTCCGCAAACTGTGTGCAGGAATCACTCTCAGGACCAACTATCTTTTGAGAAAGGAAATCATCAGTTTAAACTGTTGAAATTTCACTCCAATATTAATCCAATGACACAATGAAAATATCTTACATTTATAAAGTGCCTTAACATTCCAAATTGTGTCCACATTGGTTCTCTCTTTGCAACCCAAGCGCCTGCCTCCCTGTGCAATATAGCTAGCCTCTTTGCTGTAGTCACTCAATAAAGTTAGGAATTTCCTCAATAAACAATACATTTAGGCAACATTAAATCTCCAAAATAACTACAAAGTCATAAATCAGTAATTTATGCTAAAATAATGATCACTGGATGTAGATAATCCTTGGGAAGTCAGAGTTTATTTGAGGAACAATAAGATTTTACTATTTTTAATATCTAAACAAAGATTGGAGTATTGGAAAGTATAGAAAAACCTCTATGAAAACTCATTCTTTTGAAAATACTATAGGGATATAGGCAACTATGTATTATCTACATCAAAATTATAAATGGTGTTTTCAGCAGTTAAGTTTAAACAATATCTTGAGACCAGTTTTCAGGTGGGCTTTACAGAATAAAATAGATTCGTTCCTGAAAAGTTGATTATGAATTAAATTCTTGGAAATGGAATTATATATTTTGAACACATGGTTATGGTAGTAGTGGTGATCCCGTGTGTGTGTGTGTGTGTGTGTGTGTGTGTGTGTGTGTGTGTGTGAGAGTGTGAGTGTCTTGGGGAGGGAGTATACCATTTAAAAGAGATCTAAATTGAATCCTTTGGCAAGCCAAAGCATCCTTTTGTTGTTTTAATGATCACTCTTTAATGTGTCTGTGCTTCAAATGTGAGTTTTTGTATGGCAAGTTTTCTATAGCAGGGGGAGAAAGGGGCGGTGGGGGGGCTACACCTGCACTAAATAGGGAGCTTGTTAGGTGACTGTTGTGATCAGTTCCCGACTTGTTCTGCCTGATCAAGCACAGTGGGCAGAGATCCAATCACAAAAGCATTCCACAAAGCAAGCAAAGCAAAAATCTTCACTAAACTGACTACTGGAATGAAAACTGCTGGGGTCCATCCCTTCCCTTCACTGGGAAAGAAGCATATTCTACTAAAGAGGGAAGGCAGTTGAGACTATGGAGACATCATCTTCTGCAATCATTTCTTGAGAATGTCTCAAGACACTGATGACAACATTGCACAGTGCTGTACACAGTAGATTTACTTTAAGTCTTGTTTTCAAGCCCAACAGCTCCTACTCTTACTTCTTCCTTTGGAAAAGTAGCCCTTTAAAACCTTCCACTGTTCCAGGGTAGGCTGCCCCTGGGGTCAGGTCTTCCTCCAGCCTTATCTTGCTTTCCCTGATTTACCAGAAGATACACCAATTAAAAAGCCTTAAAAAGCCTTTGAAACAATATTCATATCCATTATCAAGCTGTCACCACATCCTCTTTTGGAAGGGTGGAGGGATAAAAGAAGAAAATGAGGCACAGCACATGTGACTTGCATGTCAGCAGTAGTGACAGAGAAAAGGAACACTCAAGGTTTCTGGAATTTATCCTGTGTAAAAAACAAACAACAACAACAAAATCAACAGGAAAACACATTCCAAAGCCAAATACTGTCTTCTTTTAATCACCTGTTAAGTTCTTATTTATGCTCTGTTCCCCCCTTAGACATTCATCCTAACAATTGGGATTTAACCTTCTTGGTAAATCACAGCAAACTAGTATAACAATGACTGTTTTTAAAAAAATAACTTTCAGAGGACATCCTCCCCAAAGGTAAACAGTTGATTGCTACTGCTTAATATTCTGTGCTCTTATTAAATTTCTGTATTTAAATATGGACATTTGTAGAAAAGCAGCTTTTAGCTGTTGATTTGAGAACAAGTTGATGGAACTCAATTCACGGATGTCGATGCCATGCTTTGCATTATCATTTATTGATGGGGAAGGATGTTAAAAAGCATCCTCATGCTACATGTCCTGTCCCCCTTGCATCTTCACTACTCCTAAGAAACAGAGCCAATGTTTAAATGATAATCGGTTCTGTCTAAAGAAACTGATGATTAGATAAAAACTTAAATTTTGGCAAAGATCAAAAAGGCATTGTGTGAATAATTAAACCTGAATTCTACCCTCGGTGCCAAATAGCAACAATTAATATTATCCCTAAACACTATAGACTGTAGAGCACCAACTCATTAAACCATGACTACTAACTTTAGGGAAATTAATTCTAAAATTACCAACCTCTTTTGGGAGAGTCGAATTTGTTGTCAGGTCTGGCAAAGTCCATTCTCACGTAGATGTCATCGTCGTCGTCGTCGTCAGAATCTCCTCTCTCTGGGGGTCTTGGCACCCGGGGACCGCGAGGTGGTGGTGGGGGAGCGGCGGCGGCGGCGGCGGCAGGAGCGGCGGCAGCGGCAGCGGCGGCGGCGGCGGCAGCGGCAGCGAGAGCCCCGCCCGCCCCGTTTTCACCTCTGGCAAGGTCTGCGGGTGGGTTCGGGGCTCCCAGGTTCCAGGCAAAGGCGCTATTCTGGGTGCCCCTTGCTGCTCTGGCATCAGCAGCATTAGCAACAGGTTGAAACCAGCGGACGGAGGCGGAGTCAAGTCCAGCCGCGGCCTCCCAGCCCGCGGCGGAGCCGATGCCCGGGGCGGCGGCGAGCGCGGAGGCCGCGGCCAAGACCCGGCCCACGGCTAAGGTCGGCGCTGCCGCGAAAGCCGCAGCAGAGGCTGGGGAAGCGGAGAGTTCTCCCTCGAGACTGTCAGTCGGAAAAGCCGAGACAGCGGCTCTGGCGGCTGCAAAGAAACTTTGCGAACGGCTCTGTGGGCGTCTTCTCTCCCGCTCTTCCTCTTGCAGCAGCCTAACTACAGGTGGTGGCTCAGAGCATCGGCTGGGGGACAGAGAAATGTCCATACAGCACTCAGAAAAGGGGTCGACCACATAGATTCGACCAGTTTCAGCATCATAGCGAATGGCACTGTCAGCAAAAGGCACGAATGGTGTCATTGCTGGGTTGAAAATTACTTCAATGTAGTCACCCTCTTCCTCATTAGCATTGCTACCTGTAGCACTGAGGGGAACAAGACGAAGTGGCCACCTAGTGCCGTCCAGAAATAGAGGGCCGGCACCTCTTAAAAGATACAAGAGGTCGTTTGAATTTAGAAATGGCACTCCGAACTCAACATTCACGTAATTATAAAAGGCTGACTGTCTGGGGTCAACAATTATGCCCCACGAATCTGGCAGTCCTTGAATAAAGGGAACTGGCCTATTGCTATCTCTTTTAGTGAAGTCAATGTTGACGTAGTCACTAGAGCCGTCAGCTTCTCTCTGCTCATGTGTGGGCTTTTGTGGTTTTGGCTTGATTTTATTTCCTTTTGTAATAAAAGACAGTCGGTTAAGTCTCTTAGCCTTATTCTTTGGGGGCCCATCATCCAAAGGCTTTGAAGGTGCTCCCCTATCTGCAGGCTTTGAGAATAACCCCTCAACTGACGGCTTTGAAGCTGCATGTTTGGTGCCCCAGTTAGATGAGACTTCTTTTTCTAGGCCCCTCCCCAGAAACTTTCCAGGTAACATTGGTACGTACTCACTGTGGTCACTCTGTCCCAAAGGGGAGCTCCGAAAAGGATTCGGCAGAGAGAAGTAGGAGCTCCAACTTTTGGAGGAAGAGCCCCCCTCGGCATTCTTGGGGTTTTTTGGAATTGCACCTGCTCCAGGAGCCATAAACATATAGTCACTGTCACTGTCATTGTCCTTTGAGTCATCCTCTTTATTAGGATCGGGTGTTTTCGGAGGACTTGGAACAGGTGGTGGGCTCACTCTGGGAAACATCATCATATACCCTCTTGAATCTTCAAAAGGTGATCGAGAATGGCGTTTTGAAGCAGAGGCATTTTGAGGAGCCATTGGCATATAATCACTGGAGCTTGCAAGAGGGGCAGCTACCCCGGGCCTCATTGGCACATATGGGTCATCTTCATCTTCATCAAAAGCTCTGGCTCTGTAGGGCCCCCGAGCTGCACCTTCTGGGATCTCTGCGGGTTTCACTTCCTTGGCTTCTTTTCGTTCTTTCGTGGCCCCTCTGTCAGCACAAAAATAAAGTCGGAATCTTCCTACAGACTTCCCTTTTCCACCAGTTGCTCCAGCTGGCGGAGGTGGAGGTGGGGGTGGTGGAGGTCCTGACATTTGCTGTTGCTTGCTTTGAGTTAATTTGCCAAAGTAGGATCTTTTCTTCAGAGATTTTCCACGTTCACCATCACCTTCCGCGCCTTTCCCACTTCCTGAGCCCTTGCCCCGGCCAGAGTTCTTGCCACTGCCAGAACCATGTCCATCTCCAGGTCCACGGCCACTGCCTGAGCCGCGCCCACCTCCAGCTCCCTGGCCACCACCTGAGCCACCTGCAGTGCCCTGGCCATTTCCTGAGCACTGGTTTCCTCCTGCACCCTGGCCTCCTGAGCCCTGGCCACTTGAACCCTGGCTGCCACTTGAGCCCTGGCCACCTCTGGATCCCTGTCCGCCGCCTGAGCATTGGTTTCCTCCTGAGCTCTGGCTACTGGAGCCTTGACCACTTGAGCCCTGGCCACCTCCAGAGCCCCGGCCATTGCCGTTGCCCCAATTGTTCATAGGCATGTAGTCACCTCCGCTTCCTTCCTGATCCTCTCTGCCCTGAGGATTACCTTCCTCCCCAGAGTTGCCAGAGCCAGATGCTTCAGAAGACTGGCCAGCTCCATCGTTCGGGGCTTCTGCAGGGTTTGGGGCACGTACCGGGCTGGGTGATAAGCGGCGAAAAAGGCTGCCTGGCATGGAAATCGCTCTCCTGGATCTGCGCATTCTGGGCAGGTGTGGTCTTCCTCGCCTGGAGGGGATCACAGGCTCTTCGCGTGTTACCAGGTGTCTGGAGAAGAGCATCTCGTCTTCCCCATCACCGAGGGCTCTGAAGTGGTAAAACTGCTCAAAGCGGGACCTTCTGAACCAGCCGCCGGGCTCGATCGGCAGCAAGCCCAGGTGCCTCCTAGTGGACAGCAGGGTTAACAGGTGGGCGCCGATGCTGATGCTGTAGCTGCGGCAGCGGGCTCTGTATTCGTCTGCACACAAGGCTCTCATCTTCTCCAAAAACAGCTCATGCATGTTTTGGGCCACCACACAGTCATCGACCTGCATCCAGAGCTCCCCCGGACCGATAACGGTGGACCTGCCGACTTCCAAGAAGAAATACTGCTCCGAGTGCCCGCAGCGACGGATGCTCAGGAGCTGGACGACTACACTGGCCACTTCGGTGTTCAGCCTCACAAACACTACCTCCTCGTCGGTTAGACACAGCCGGAACACGCCGCTCAGCTCTTTTCTGTGCCCCAGCCCCCTGGGTTTGACTATTACCTGCCACACATCTTTATAGAAGGGTGGCTCCGCCGCCGCTGCCGCCGCCAGCGCGGCCGGCTCTCCTCCGTCCGGCTGCGCGCCCAGCGTGCCGCAGCGGCGGCGCTTGCTCTCGAGGATGAGGCGGCTGAGCAGCAAGTACCAGCTTTCCTGCTCTGACTCGTTCTCGGCCACCATAGCGAAGTACTCGTCCTGGGTGAAAAGGGCAATGAGATACCGGTACCTTGCATCTGCTCGCTGGCTCACGGAGAAGCACTGGTACAGGGTGATCACGCGCCGTGGTCGAATCTGCGCGGGGACCGCGGCGCCTGAGGCGGCCGCCGCGGCTGCAGCTGCCGCGGCGCGGACACTGTGGCGGAACTTCCTGGCATTTTCGTAGTATTCCAGCCTAGCTGGGGCGTCGGCGGTCTCGAGTTTGAGCACGAAGTAGCGCCTGTGCCCATGCTTCTGCTTCCGCAGGTAGCCGCGTTTGCAGACTTCGGCCCCGACGGGGAGGTCCTCCTCTTCGGACTCAGAATCCGACCGGGAGCCAGTGGCCGTGGAGAGCCACATGGCTCCCGGACAAGACGACCCGGTCCCAATGAGTGCGGTTGGGGTTCCCGAAGAAAGAAGCGGGGTGGTCGCCGCTGCTGTTAGAGCCGCTGCTGCTGCCGCTGCTGCACCTCTCAGTCTCCTTGTCGCTTGGTCGCGAGCGAAGGAGCAACTCGCCATGGTGATGCGCGATGGTTTTAAGGTGAGCGGGAGGCGGGGGGGGGGGAGTCGGGGAAGGGAGGGCTGAGGGAAGAGGCAGTCTACCCCCGAGCGTCCGCCCGCCCCAGCCCCCTCCCGCCTCAGCTTGCGCCCCCGCCCACTCCACTCAGAGCGCGGCAGCGGGCAAAACAACACGTGACCGCCGCCTCACGCGGCGGCCGCTGCGGATTCTGCTACCAGCGCAGTGGAGGGGCGCAAGCGGCCACCAGTAGAGGTGTGCAAGGGAGGGGGCGGCGGGCCCGGGAGGCGGAGCCACCTTCAGCTCGGCTGGGACCCTCTCAGTGAATCTGCCGGCCTGTGGGCCGCGGGAGGAGGCGGGGCTCTCTGGCCACGCTGATCCGAAATGAGAAGTCCGAGAAGGCACGAGGGGGTGGGAGAAAGGCGGGAGAGGGGGAGGAGAGAGCCACCAGCTCTCGGGGTCGAGCAGGGGCGCCACAGTGGGGTATGGAATGGCTACAGGGGGCAAGAAATGGTGGGAGGGGGCGGAGCACAAACGGCCTTCGCGGCGCCAGAGAGCAGAGCTGGCAGGGTCTCTGGACAGTTTGTTTGTTTATTTAGGAAGCGGGAGCCAGGTGAAACTGTTGCAAGGCTCTGATTGGTTGGGGTTAGAGCCAATGGGCGGGTCCGGCAGGAAGACGTCCCCGAATTCATTAGTTTGGCGGCAGGGAGGGGAGCGAGGGGCGAGGGGGCGTGGCTGGGGTCCTGCAGCGGCTTCGCCGCCTGCTAGTCCTGCACTCAGGCGGTAAACAACCCTCCGCAAGTAGCTGTTAATGGAGGTGATAAACTCATGCAAATCCCAGAGCCTTGGCGACCCAGGACCGAGTTGGGCGCCCCCTTACTCCTTGTCGCTCACATAAATTCTCTATTCATGTCACAGTGTGGTCCACTCCCTTCCGCTGCTCACCATGGCCCGAGCTTCTTGGGAGAGAGAGTCAACACCCCCAGAAAACGTGTTAACGACCTGGGCCTTCAGACCTGCCACCCACCGCCCCGCAGGCACTCCCGAACCCGCGCCACCCCTGACAAAAACCCGCGACTCTAAGACACACGAATAACAGCGATACCTTCAAAATGAACATAATTTTTAACCAGAGCGCATTTCTAGCCCATGAGACACAGGTTCGCTAAAGATGTTGTTTCTGGCTATTTATGATGACTATGAAGGCACAAATTTGGGGGCCTGCACAGTATACAACCATGATGAAAAAAAAAATAGGACTCAAGTCTTACTGAACTACACCAGTGTTGAGCTAGTGTGATATTTTCCTGTGGAAGATGCTTTGAAAGGTGCCTTTAAAGGAATCTTAGAATATTAAGTTTCTCTTTCTCTGAGCGACACTGAAAAACTTTAGAAAAATAAAAACTCGTACCTAGAACAAAGGACTATACTGAATACGTAGCCTAGAATATATTTCACATCCTCGCGTCAAAAAAAGAAGATCTTTGCTGCATTTCAGTCTACAAGTTCTGCATTTCAGAACTACTGCCTCCCTTGTTTCTGGAAAAACTGCTGGAGTGTAAGTGCAATCTCCCTGAACTCTCTCTCTCTCTCTCTCATTCTCTTTCTCTCTCAGTTTGTCTTTGACTAGGATTTCAGACTGTTAAGGGTGGAGATGATCAGAGCGACCACATTAGCAAAGAAGGATTTTGGGGGCGAGGGTTAGAGGAGACATATGGTATTTCTCTCTAAAAAATGGAATTCCAGTTCACCCTTGCCCTAGGATTGATACTACAAATGGTATTATTTATAAAATCTAGCAGTACACTAGGCAATGCCTACAAAGACCCTATCCTTGCCCTCTTAAGAATTTGCTCTTTGTTAGAATAAACATATTTGAATAACTGGCTCCTTTTTCATGCTCCGATTTGGGGGGAAATTGGTTTGGTTGCCTCTAAAATATTAGAAACAATCATTAACATTCCCTCTGCTGCCACTAGTTTGTAAGCACAGTATATCCACGGGTGCTGGGAGCAGCCGTGGTTTCTGAAAGTAACTGGAGGCGGAATGAGTGAATGCTGCAAGAGCCCTAAGTCCGACGGCTACCTACTTGTTTCAGCTGCCTAGTCACACATGTATAAGATTTACTGCACTTATGAACCAAAGATAATGAATATTCTCATTTGGGATTTTTATGGTGGGCATTATGATATTTTGAAAGTCTTTACAAGCACAAAGTTTTGCTTCAGATAGAAATAGGAAAACACAGTGCTTCAAGTAATAACATGTTTTAAAATATATTAAAACATTAAAATGCATATTAAATGAAATTTAGAGAATAAAGGAGATTGAAAAATCCCCATGTCCTTTTTTTCTATGCATATTGAGTTTTTACATAGAGCAGTGGGCTTACAATATGTATGCTTTTGCATCCTGTTCTTTTTACTTAGCATTACATGATAACATTTCCCCATATTATTATGGATCAGTCTACACATCATTTGAAATGCAGCATAATATTCCACACAGCTAATGTATATCAATGTACTTAATCTTCCCTCTGCTTTGGAGTATTTAGATTGTTTTCAATTTTTTCAATATTACAAATCATGCTGCAATGAATATCTCGTACCTACAGCTTTTAAAAAAGTATTTAGATTTTTCCCTTACGGTGGAAACCAAGAACTGGAATTAGTAGGTTAAAAGGTATGAATATTTGATACATTATTTTTCAAAAATATTTTATCAGTTTACGCTGTCACCACACTGATTGCCAACACTTGACATTCTTATTTTTTAAAAGATCACTGATAAGATGGGTGAAATGGTATTCCACTGTCCTTTTAATTTGCATTTTTGTTTACCAGTGAGATAAAACATATATATTTACTGACAGTGCATTATCTTCTATGAAGTGTTTTTTATGTCCTTTGCCTTATCTATTGGACTCTTAGTATTTTTTTATTGTGTGACTTGTTTACGTAATAAATATATTAAAACTTTGTCATATTTGTTGCAAGTTTATTTCCTAGTCTATTGATATAAAACATCACATTTAAACCTAATTCTCTTCTATTTTGAACGATGTGTAGATTTGGCACAGTGCAGCTTGTAACACAGTTTAAAAGGGAGCTGTTGATAAACACAAATGTTACCGTGTTCACTTCTAACCTTTTAAAAGATCTCATATATTTAAGCTTATATGCTCTTTTAAAGGAAGAACTAAGTTTATTCTCATGTCAACAAACTATAAGAGAGCATCTAAATAGGTTAAATTTATGTATCATTCTTAAACAATACTTTATAAGACATTATTTTCTATTCTAGGGGGAAAATACCTAGAACTAATCAATGTGTTAAAAAAGAAGCATGAAAATATTTTTTAAACAATTACAGTGAAAGATTAACAGTGCTGATCACCGTGTACCCAAGGTATATTATTTGCCTCCAGCAACGTGGAATTAGAGATAGACTGAGATGTTTCATAGAGGGTTTTACTTTGCACATTTCCTACTATGGGAGGGGATCTGGCAAATGTGATTACTGTGAACAGGAAGAATATCTGACTAGAAGAACATTATTTTTTTCCTATAGGTCAACCAAATCTCCTCAGTCCTAAAATTCCAGCACTGAAGCTCTCTGGAGGAGATCATCTTTACTGAATTGTACCAGATACTGTGGCTTGTCTGACATATATGTAAATTTTCATCTTCCTGGACAATTTAATGATATTGAATAGTCATTTAGTTCAGGTCATATCCACATAGGCAAAAAAAAACAGACACCTATATGCTTTAGTCAAAAAGTAGAGACTTGGTATTTGGCCTTCACTCATCAGGTGGTTGCTTTAATGCTTTACTCTTCTTTGGTTATAGATTCCTGACTCTTAATTTTTTTTTTTTACGACAGGTTACCCCAGAGGGCTAAAGTTGCTTTGCATATTCAGTTGTAGCATCTGTGAAGTATGGACTCTGAATCAAGAATTGGAAACATAGATTTTTAAAACAACAGATAAGAAATAGTAATACCTACAATATTTCTTATTTTAGTTTGTCAGTTTAGCTGAGAAAAAAAACCCACAAGCATTGCAGTTGGTATTTTACATGTATAAACTAAAGCAAATGAATAAAGAGGCACAGTACCTTTAAAACAGATTCCATCTAATGAAGAAATATGTCTTTAACGGGGTTTGCCTTTATAAGGAATTTCAGGTGAATCCTGTTTTACAAAAGCAATTATTTTACATAAATGACTAGTCAGTGTTAATAAAAACTCATCTGCTTCTTTCCTTACATACATGATCATCAGTATTCTAAACTCAACTTGTACTAAAATCAAAATGGATACTTGAAGTGTGGATTCACTTAGCTTAAAAATTAAACTGTTGCATTAAATACAGATGACATTATTTGGGAGAATAAAACCTAAGAGGAAAAGTAACCGGTATAAAAGAATTATTAGTCTTGCCCAATGTATAAATTATTATTTGAGTATTAACTCTATAATCTTTGTGAGCCAACGTCCAATTATGTTGATAAAAATGTGATGCTAACCTTGATATTAAAAAATGATGTTAGTGATGATGATTGCTTTCTCTGTGTTTTGACATAAATAAAATCATGTACAATAAAGGATGCTTTCTACACTATGAAGGATAAGTACTGCTGTGTGATTTGTGGCTGCAAGCCACTGTTTGTAGGTGATGGCTTTGCTTCTCAGCTGCTTCTGTGCTACTCAAAACCTCTGCTGGAGAAAACAACCATCAAATGCCTGGCTGCTACACACAGAACAGGTCTGTTTGCTGCCTTTGTTTCCTTGCAGTCTGCAGCTAAAGTAATTAGAGCAAATAGTGGTTTAATTAGGCTCCTAACGCCTCCTTGTTATCTTTAGAGTCAACTGAAAATTAACTTAGTTAAAAACCAAGCATTTTTTCCCATTTTCAAAAGATAAAAGTTTCATTTGGAAATGACTTTTAGGAAGTAAGCCAAACATCAGAACAATGAAATCTGGTAGGTTTCACATAAATTTCAATGATTTGGGGGCATATACATTCTCTATGCTGATATAAGTGAACAATAGCAAATTTAGCTTGATGCTGTTCCTTGTTAATACCATGTAGCAGCATTGTTCTTAGTGTCAAAAGATTATCAAAAAATTCATACTGCCTTGTCTTAAATGTCAGGATCTTTATTTTGTAAAGTAAATAGGATTATTACATAAAAGTTTTACTATTTTAAAGGAGTTAGTGTTATAGACTTGCATTTTCTTTTGGATGTTTAGAAAAGCAGCTACTGTATTTAGGATAATACATATTGTTTTTATTGTTGATACCTCTTTCTCCACTCCTTACATGGTCTTGCAATATTTGTCAGATTGAACACTTCCTTTCACTTTCATAGTCACCATCCTGGTCCATGTCATAATTAACTATCAGAATTCCTGAAGTAGTCTCCTAAACTGGCTTCTGCCTTCTTTCATCTCTTCTTCATATAGCCAGCAGAATATTTGCCTTCCAATGTCACTGTCATCAAATCATTCCATACTCAAGAATGTAGAGAGGCCCCCTCCCCTTTTTCTGCTATATCAGAATTAAACTCCTAACTCTAGTATATAAGTTTCCCTCTTCCCAACTTAACACCACAACCAACTTCTTTTCACTCTCTTGCTGCATAAAACCCATTCTTCCAAATCACCTCCCATTCTTACAATACATTCTTGCTACCCACACCTCCACTTAGGTTGATTTCTTTATGACATTCTGCATATGATTTATCCACTTATGCCTTTACTTAGGCAGTTTCCTTCTTCTTCATCACCACTTGATGCCAATCATTTCTCTCAAGACTAAGATCAAAACTCAGGAAAACTTCCCTCACTTGCATAATCCCACTGCCTAATTTTTTAAAGCATTGGATATAGGTAGAGCTAAGGATTTAGTTGGTATTTATGGATACAGTCATATCATTGTTAAATGACAGTTATTGTTAAAATGACAAATATGAATACTTTTCTACCACTTAGTAAGTAGCTACTGGTCTAAAACTGCCCCCCCAAGTCCTCTTGCCTACCCTACCTCTCCACTATCTAACAACTATAAGGTTTACTACTGGCATAGCAAGGGCCTTCAGGACCCCACACTTGAACACTGACTGGCATACATTCTGATTGGTTGGCTTGTGCCACACAGTCTGTAAATAGTTAAAATTACCATGCCTGGATATAATGAATCCCTGAGTTAGGAACACTGTTCTAGATTACATATTCCTTGAGGACCAGGACTATGTCATATTCATCTTTGTATCCCTAAAGCTTCTTATAATGCCTGGCAATCACCAATACATGTTTGCTTAAGGAAAGAAGGAAGGGGGGGATGAGGAAGGGATAGGGGGAGGGTGAGAATGGGGGGAAAGGGAATGAAAGGGAAAGAGGAGAAAAGAAATGTTCAAGACAGGTCTAAAACATCATTGCAGACTACCTCCTCCTCCAAATCACATCTTACAGTGCCCAAGCTCTCCATGCATGACTGGTGGCAAGACTTGGTGACTTCCATCTGTCTTAACATCTCTTCCCCTTCAAAGGAATCATGCTCATTATATTTTTATCTATCATAAATCAGTAAATCTTTTTATCACATGTATTCCTTTCCCATCTTGTGGTTGTTGACAGAAACCTCAGGAAATACCTGTGTCCCTATATTTCCCCTCCCCTCTTTAGTTCCATTTTGTAACAAATAGAAATTCCAACTCTGATCATGTAGGGCGATAAATATAAAATTAATACTGGTCATAGGGTAATGATAATGACAAACCTCCATCAAGGAAAAGCACTTATCAGTTCTTCACACCATTGTTTTCTCTCCCATTCTCTTGCATTCCCATATATTCTCCATACATGCTCACCATGTATTCCTGATGCCAAGAACAGTGCCTGACACATAGTAGAGATCCTCAATAAATACTTGTCAAATGAGTGAATGAAAATGAAAAAATATATGTTTTGAAGTTAAAATAGAGGTACCTCAAGGATCACAAGTGCTCTTGAAAGAGATCCCCTTTGAAATCTCCACAGAAGTCTTCATCTATCTGCTTTAAGTAAACATGCTTTCTCAAGCTTTGGTATTTAAAATATATCAATATATTTTAGAAGCCTATTTCATAATCATTTTTATTTTCCAATTTTTGTCTGATTGTATTAAACACTTCTGTTTTCTGCTATATTTTCATAGTAAATATACACAGAATTTCCATTTATTGTGAATTAAATGGGTTTCTTTTGGCAAATCTATACATCCAATTAAGCATTTATTTATAATGTTCATGTTAGTAAAACGTGTTCTAAGTTTGAAACAATTGTCTTACCAACCGCTTTTGAAATACAATCATTTTAAGTTTCCAGAGTTTCTGTATTAAATCTGGGCTTTACTATCAGAAGATTGTCTATGAATTTTAAGTACTTTTCAGTTGCCTTCTGAGTAAATGCTTTATCTTCCCAAGTGTTTTGTAAGCCCTCCTGAGGGCAGAGATTGTATTTTTCTGCTTTTGTTCACCCCTTCGTGGTATCTAGTCCTGCATTGAACTCAGTAACCACTTGTGGAATGAAGGATTTGACCTAAACGCAAAAATACTACATAAGACAATGAGTCTAGAAGACAATGTATTAGTTTTTGCAAAAAGTGAAATTATCAGTCATTCAATGCACTCTTCAGTATTTAGGGCTACTGCAGTGGAGAGTGATGTTAGAAACTACATTTTTGGTTAGGCTTGTTAATCACTCCTCCTTGTCAAAATTTTACACATGAGGTTTATTTAAAAAGGCAACAATACAGGACAATAAATCATAATTATAAAAGTATCAACAGCACAGGTTTAAAATATTTCATTCTCCATTAATTATATGTTCGCTCTTCCCCTTAAATTCATCATCAGGGAGGATCATGAACTGTTATGTAAAAAATATAATTTGAGTTCAGAAGTTAGGAAGTGAAATGTTGGTGCTTATTTCAGGACCTTTTCCAAATTTGGGACTAAGGAGTGAAAAGAGAAACAAGGAGGGAAAATTTTCATTTTTGATGAGGGAACAGAGAAATTTAGATTCTCTCATAGTGTGCTGCTCTCTTACTTCTATAATAATGCATTAAAAATACCTAGGATTATATTTCTTAACCTGAGTGATAGTTAATGGGCATTTAGTTCATAGTTATTATTTAAACTATATGTATATGTATTTTATATATTTTTCTGTGTTTATGATATTTTTCACAACTAAAGAAAAGATACTTTAATAAAAAAATCTGGTCCAAAGAGGGAAGCATGTCAATATTTTATATTGATTCTAAATCAAGAGCCAAGTATAAATCATTCATTTTTTTTTTTTGCAAATTAACAATTTTTTTGCAAATTAACATTTTTTTGCAAATTAACATTCAGAGAAATAGTGGTTAACATTTGAATACAGTGCTTAAGAAACAGTTAATATTTGCATTTGAAAGGAAGTGTCCCTTGGAAAACAAAATTGATGTTTCATTAATAAAAAATAAAAAACAAACGAAAATGTTTTTGCTTAACTAAAAAGATTTCTTGAAAGATTGCTTTAAGGTCCACCTGAAGACTTTTGTCACATGGTTCAGCACTCTCCTGGAATCTTGGAGGTGTTATAGAATCAAAGCTCAGAGCACTCCAAAGAGTGAGTTGTGTAAGCTGAGAAACCCTATTCAAAATACCTAATCGTACAAGTTGATATTTACTAGGGAAGGCTTACTTTTCTTTTAAAGCTTATTCTTTTTCTATGATTTTATCTTCTGTTTATATATGTATACAATATAATTGTGGTTTTAGTGTAAATTTTTTCTCACCAACACAACAAGATTGTAAATTTTTTGAGGATAGGGATAATCTATTGTTTGGCTTTCATGCTCCCTGCATGGCCTAGCTCTGCAGTTAGTCACCTAATACTTTTGCTTCATTTGCAAATGCATGCATGTCACATTCTGATAGCTTGTGACTCCTTTGTCTCAGTCTCATCCATTTTATACCCAAAAGAATGTGCTGGAGGATATAAGGATCACAGTCTCTTGTTTTGTAATGTATATGATCCGGAGGCAGTTGTAACCACTAATTGTAAATTTTAGTGTTTGTATGATTAAAATTATTGAAATATAAATTTGAAAGCGTGATGTGATTTGGAAATCTTTTAAAATATTATTCATTCTACAGATATTCAGGTTAAGTTGATTATTTGGTATTATGATCCTACCTAAGTAAAAAAAAATACTCAATTTACTAGAACTCTAAGCTTATGCCTAAAATAAAACCATGACCCAATATTTGAGAAATATTTCTTTAAATTTCTATTACTTGAAGTAGAAACTGATTTACTATACATAATCTTTCTGTGAATTGAAAGTCTAATATGTTCAAATTTAATCATCATCTGTGACATTTTGCAATGTTATAAATTACTTTTTGCAACAGTATTGCAATACATCTTTAACGTCTAGATGTTTTCATTCAGATTTGGCTAAGTATTACTGTTTGATGAGGGT